TTCAAGTACTGGCTGTGTATGTGTAGACTAGACTAGACTAGACTATCATCAAATTTGACGTCATGTTGACAATAAAAGGGTGATCAACACCATTTAAAAAAACATTGAAAGTAGATCACATAGGGCGTTCATTAAAGGCCCAAACGCAATGACAGCGGAAGCGGAACGGCAGCGGCAGCGGAAAAGCCCGATCTGAGTAAGCCTACTTGTCGGATTGAAAACTAGTTAGAATCAAATCGACTTCGGTTAGGCATCTTGATGTCATTTGTGACAACTGTCAAACTTTCCGTTTCCGTTCCGCTTCCGTCCACATTGCGTTTGGGCCTTAAATATATTTTCTATAATTCATTTAAATTTCCAACCTTGTTTTTCATTAACTCGTAGAAAAAGCATGTATTTTATATTCGGTTAGAAGCAAAATATCGATTAGTTTGTTTTTGCGACTTACGTTATGCTTGAAATCCTTTTCATAAGTTTATGATAATGATAAGTTTAATAACTGTCCGAAGGCTTCGAATTAGAGGTTGGCACACTTTTTTTTTTTTTTTTGTGCGCTATGGTCCGAAATGGCAGTTTTACGGATGTTCTGGATCTTTTAGTGGACCACCCCGTGGTCTCTAGAGTCCATATTTCGGTCACAACTCCGAATTTATTCTGATAAATAAGACGTCTATGAGTGGCTTTGACAAATCAGTGGCGCACTAGGATCAGTTTCAAAATTGACCACTTTTACGTATGTTCCGGATCCTCCGGTGGACAATCCCGTGATTCCCTGAATCCATATTCGAGTCAAAACTCCGAATTCATTCTGATAAGACGTCTATCAGTGATTTCGAAAAAAAAACACAGAGCTTTAGGATCAGTATCATGAATTGACCACTTTTACGGATGTTTTGAATTTTCCAGAGGACCAGACTTGTGACTTTGGTCAACTATCTTGTTAGTATTTTTTTCCGAAATCAACACTTCAAATTACCCTTCAATAAGAGTTTGTCACCAATTCACTCTAATCCTATATGGTACACTCATAAAATAGATCACATAACCAGTGGAAAATATCCATGTAAATTTCACTCGATTTCACATAACTTTCATGTGATCCCATAATTCGAAAATGCTCCACTAAATCAAAAAACCTTATGTGTCCAATGAAAGCTATATGATTACTCATATGTTCATTATGTGATATTCAAATAAAAATCATTAATGTTGTTATTGGAAAAATATTATGTGCGTTTTTTTACCTTGATTTGTTTTTCGTCGATCTGGTTTTCCGTGCTAAGCACCAATGCTACCGACGCGACCATGAAGGCAGCTCCCACACCAGGACCCTACCTATCGACCCATCAACTCATGAACCGGGGACCAACGGTTTTACTTCCCTTCCGAAGGAAGGTGTAGTCAGAGATGTTGGGATTGAACCCAGGCCTGCTGAGGTGAGAGGTAATCACGCTTACCACTACACCACTGGCGCCGCTATTATGTGCGTTCTTAGTAGAAACTATGTGAAAACTTTTTTCAGTGTACGTGTATTTGTTAATGCCGGTTCCTATCTTGACTGTATACTAATGCTAAAATGATACAGACCTAAAAAGTTCTCAATTAACATCTGTGGAAGTACTCAAAGAACTCAGTTGAGAGCCGGTGTAAAATCCTAGTGAAGATTAATACAGCCAAAGAAGATGAACCCTATCTGAACATGGAAAAGCTATGGGTAATTTTTACCCAAAAAGCATGCAGTCTTCAAATGTTAATATACTAAGGCGGTGTACAGATTTTTATTTTTCATGAGATGGCATCTAAAGGCCACACAAAAAGCAACATTTTAGATTAACTTGAAGAACAACAAATTTCAAAAGTGAATAAATTAACTTTAAAAATCCCCAAAAATAAATCGAAAATTGCATTTACGGGAATTGACATATTTCCGTCAATCCAAGCAGCATCCGCGCTACTATTATCAATTTCTCAGTGTCACGCATACATATGACATGTTTGTTTGTTTACATTTATTACTGGTCGATTAGAATGACTAATCGACAGAATTGTCCAAAACGGTTTGAAAACGATTTTACAACGCTTCAAACTTCTCAGGTAAATATGACTAATGTCGGCAACCTCTTTTTTTTCGGCGACCTGTTGAACCCCGTGTTAACCAGCTTTCTATTATCGGCAACTCGAAATCAACCGCATTTTGTAGTGCATTTATTTAATTTAAATTAAAAAAAACTGGCATAACCAAGGGGTAGGTCACTCCGCACACCAATCTTGGGTCATCTTTTTTTTTCAGTGTGCCGCAAGTGTGCCAATTGTGCCGGGCATGGAGCAAACTGCGATTGTTTGTAAAATACTCATCCCGGCAACCCGGTATTTCTGACACCTTGAATGTTTTGGTTTGAAATCGCAAGGATAAATCGGATTGAGGATGACGTGGGAAGAGGCGGGTGTGCGAAAGTTTGATGTTTTGTGTTCCATAGGGTAATAAAAGTCCTGTGTTTAAATGTTTTATAATGCCCTCAAAGGCAGACCAGAAACCTAGCTTTCCGTAAAGTGAAAATCATCGGTCTATCAGAGGCCGGAAAGAGTTGGAATCGGTGGGGAGCATTGTTGGAGACCGACTATAGAGGGTAATGAATAGACTTCTTTAGTTTGTTTTGTGTGAGTTGCAGCATTATTTGAATTAAGGGTACTAATGGGGTCTGATTAACTGCCTCTTTCTCTTGAGCCAAGTCTAGAACCTACGTTTCATATTTAGATCTATAAGTCTGAGTTCCTCTGGTATATTCAATTAGAGGATGTTCCTGAATATACTGTCCAACAGCACGTAATGTTGTGAACAACTTCAATGACAGTTGTCCAGCAGAGCCCTCAACGGCGCCGGTGGTGTAGTGGTAAGCGTAATTACCTCTCACCCCAGCAGGCCTGGGTTCAATACCAGTCGGCGCCGCCGGGATGTTCTGAGGCATAACATCTCTGATCACGCCTTCCTTCGGATGGGAAGTAAATCCGTTGGTCCCCGGTTCATGAGTTGATGGGTCGATAGGTAGGGTCCAGGTTTGGGAGCTGCCTTCCTGGCACGTCGGTAGCATTGGTGCTCAGCACGGAAAACAAGATCGACGGAAAAAACAAACCAAAGGAGAAAAAAAGCAGAGCCCTCATTTTATTTACAACAATCCAATGCCTACGATATTGTGCCGAAGGTATGCTGAAGGTATGCCGATGGATGTGCCTAAGCTATGCCGAATCTAATTTCGGCACAATGTGCTGCGTGACTTGCCCCTTGGGCATAACAGGTTTTCTCAGTCATCAAAATGTAATCAAATTGAAGCTGAAAGACTAAGAATCGACAAATACATTCATTCGAAGTATTTTGGTGAGAAAATACAGCGCAATTAACATTCAAATTTTGGTTGATTGACTGTTTTCAATTGAAAACCAAATCAGAACCACATTCTTCCGTCAGCAAAAATTATAAATATAATTAAACTGATTTTATGCAACACCCTAACTGAAAACTGATGAACTGCTCTAACATGATCAAACAAAGAGCTATACAAATGCAAAATTGAGTAAAGTTGCTTGCATATTTTCAACTATTTTTCTGAAAAATGCAACCACCTATAACCTCGAATAAACAAGTACGATTTGGATTTAAATTTAAATGGGGACCACCCAAACTATTATTTGCAATTAAAGAAGGTAGGGGAAATGGCTTCAATGTTGGCCTATGGATCTAAGATTTGGCCCATCGCTAAAAATCTGCTATTTATCAATTTTATCTAGATGAACGCGTCATTGGTACGGTACTAATGGATATTTTTGGTAGCTATTGAAAATTTAGTCGATTGCTGAATTTATGTATGGGCCCAAATTAGGAGCATTTAGGCCGACATAACATTCATTTCCCCTATATAATTTCAAGCAACTTTACTAAAGACAGCATTTCTGGAGTGCATTTTAAATAGTTCGTTTATAACAAACGGAAACAAATTGACATTTTAATGCTACCAGACACTACTTTGCTTACTCTTCCTAAAGGAAAAATTTGGGCCGGCTACCTAATTTGTTTTAATTCTCTCACCAAAATCTATTTTTTGTATTTGCGAACTGATCAAAACATAGATCAATTTTACATACGACACCTAACTACTAAAGGGGTGTCAATCGTCGTTAGTAACAAATTTGACAGAAGCGTAAAAAATGTACATACGATCTGTTGTTTTTCCTAATAAAAGTGAAAATTTCGCAAATCTTCTATGTTAAACGGTTGTGGTTGGTATATAAAATATTAAATACGTTTTCCGTGAGGTGTTACTCATTATTATACATTTTTAAGCCACTAAAATGCACACGGTCGAATGTAACACCACGACAAAGACTTGCTACTCTCTCAATAACTGGTGCAATGAGTAGCACACCGAGTATGTCACTGGATGCTCTACTTTATCTGCTTTCTTTGCATAAATTTATCCAATTAGAAGCTGAAAGGAGCGCTTTAAAGGTTCAACGAACAAAGCACTTCCTTTTGACGAAGATTTTTTTCAGGATCAAGTCTGTCAGTGACTATATGACGAACAATTTTGTCAATATTGCGCGAAAGTCTGTCAATGACAATGACAAATCTCAGCACTGCCCGTAATATCAACGTCCATGGTTAGGTTCCAGTCTGCACCCTTTTATTATTTTTTTGTAAACATTATTTTCCATAAGGCAAATCAATTCATATCAATTTCTTGTGGCTAAAATTCATAAGTGGTTCTTATGTTATTCTTACGCTCTTTTGCCTCAGTATGGTAATCCTGTATACAACATACATGCAAACTTGAAAAAAGTTGTGCCGTTCATGCCAAATAAAGTTGAAACTATTCTAGGGAAATTTTCTGAGACCTTTAAAATGGATTGGTTTTCTTTTTCGTATAAGGGTCTAATTTGGGCAACCCACAATTTTTAATTATTTCATCTAAAATATAACACTTTTCTTCAACATCTTTCCATTTCAGCATCTCACAAAGTGTTCTGCTCAGAAGACCAAATGCGTGTCAATGTTGTCCTCCCGTCCAACGACTCCACCACCTCCGTTTACTTGGAAGGCATGAAAGGATATCCGGAACCCAAGTGTAAACCGACCATCAAGGATACGCTTGCTGAGTTTCAACTGTCACTGATGAACATCTACGAGTGTGGCGTCACTCGAATCGTCAATAAAATAACCGTAAGTTTGAATCAGCTGTTCTCAGTATGAAATTGATAATCTGTTCCTTCGCTAACGTTTCAGGGTAAGAAGGTATTCTATCACCGGGTCATTATTGAAGGAGACCAAGAATTTGGCAAGGAAGTGATCAGTGTGAAATGTATCACCAATGGACCTCTGTACAACATTACGCATGGAATCGTCAAGCGAGATGTTCTACCAGTTGGATTCAAGGAACCAGAGTATGTTTTTGAATAATCAAACTGATAACTTTTACTAACAATTTGTCCATCCACACCGTCGTAGGGACCTGGAAATCACATCTAGCATTACGGAAAGTGCCCCTGAGCCATCGCTAGAAATTGTCGTACGTCAGGGAAATAAACTTGTATCCGGTGACTTGAACGTCAGCCCAGGCACGAACCTTCAAATGGAAATTTACCTCGATAATAAATCGGCTCCCATTTATGGGCTGGGTGTAAACTACATGCAGGTTACGGACGCATTTTCCCAGGAAGAAACTATCATCTACAACGGGTATGTGGATTATGCTTTCAAATGTCCTCCTAGATTGCAGGTGTCTAATTTGAATGATTCTCCATAGTTGTTCGGTCGATCCCTATCTGTTTGAAAACTTCAACACCGTTGATGGTGACCTACTGACGGCGAAATTCCGCGCATTCAAGTTTCCCGACTCAACCTTCGTGCAGTTCCGAGGTACCGTCAATGTTTGCGTAGACCGGTGCAAGGGCGTCATCTGCAGCAACGGACAATCCGCGTACGGACGCAAGCGACGGGAAATCAGCCAAAGTTTGGCCGATCCAAACAAAGTGTACGAAGTGACGATGACGACGTTCATCAAGGTCAATTACGATGAAAATTCCGATAAGAGTAAGTATTCGAGCCTGTCATCAATGAGCGTTGAAAGAATGGTGGCGCAAAGAATACAAAAATTGTTCTGAAAACAAAATCTGTGAAGTGGCAGTACAGACACTAGACTGATGCAAAATTTGACATTTTCGCTCCATAATGCTTAAACGGTTCCAAATCGGGTCTTTGGACTCTTTTGGTTAGAGACTGACTTTGTCCATTGCCTCGTACGCTTTTCTATATTGATATGAGAGAAAAATTGATAGCTATTTTTGCATGATTTTTTTCTATTCTTCACTGTTTTCTAATATTTTAAATTTCAAATGAATTTCTTCTAACAGCTTATTGTTTCCATTCATAAAGTACATTTAAAGTTCAACGTATGAGCGATATCATATCGACAAACAGCTACGATAGAAGAGGGACGCATTTTGCTTGACATGGGCATTTTACCCCCATTTCCCTTACTTCATTACTATGGAAAAGTAATGAAGCATTCATTGTCGATACAGTTAAATAACACATACATGCTCTTCTCATAAGAAGCTTCATTCAATTGTGATGTTCCGGATCATTCGAAGCATTCTAGGACCTTTCCAAATACCACCCTTTCATCAATTAAAGTAGGCTCACAACACAACGAAAAACAACTGTTGGTAAACAAAATAAACTAAATTAGGGTAAATGACGGCTTCGGAAATACCTTATTATATTACCGTCAGGAGGTAAACAATGTCCTTGAGAGCTCAATTTTGCCATGTGGATACATAGTGTTTCTGATCATCTATTGTCCAAAATTGAGTGCTCTAGGACTTTGTTTACCCCCTGACGATAATGGGTAAAGGTATTGCCGAAGCTGACATTTCCCCTTTTTGTACTGAAACATTTGTAAAAATCATTTTAAAAAACTTAGAAATAAATTAAAAAAAAAAACAAGTCAGTAACTTTGTCAAAAGTTGTTCGATTGATTGTGGTTTTATGGACGATGTTTTACAGACAAAAATATTCACAGTTGATCGTAGTATAAGCGTAAGCGCTCTTTACAAACCATTTAAAAAAAACTCAATTGCTCATAGCATGGCATATTTCATAGCTCCTCTCATTATCAAGTTTTCATACAACAATACCTACAACCCCGTATCATCTTACCTACAGACACTGCCTCGGAAATCGACCAAAAGTTCCGGCAGCTGAAACTGGCGAACCAAAAGCTGGCCCGAAACAGCCGCGCCGGAAACGTGTTCGAGAGCATCCACGTGTCGAAGATGGCCGAAACGAGTCCCAGTGAAAATGCCAAGGTCGAGGAAACGATCGTCTTCGCCAGAGAAGTCATCAGCCAACCGCAGGAAACCGTGACGGGCAGAAGCAGTAGCCTCCGGCAGATTCCCGCCGTCAGTCTGATCGTAATCTTACTGCTGTCCATTGCGCTGAACTTTCGCAATGCCTTTCCCTGAAACAACGATTTCTTACTAATGATCTCAGTGAACGAACACAAACAATTTAGGCAAAAGAAAACAAACGAAAACAAAAAGTTAACAAAATACTAACGACCCACTGACTCGAATTCAAAATGGCGTGCAAGTACTTGTAAATATCACCCAACACAATTTGCTAGTTCGTAAGAAGGCTTACCACAAAAATTGATGAAATTGAACGTTTTAAATAAGCTTACATTAACGTAACTACTACTGCCCGGACAAATTTTAGCGACTTATTTTAACGAAGTTTTAACGTGCGATTTTTTTTACAACATCGACAACAAAAATGTGATTGATCAAATTATTGTACATTTGTTTTGCGGTTCAATCGATTGGCAATACACAGAGATTGTGAAGGATCGAGTAGGATAAAAAATTTCCCTGCACAATCCGATAGGCGATATAAGCAATGTAAGTTATACTAGTCTAATAACTATAAAAACGGATCTAAACGATTCGAGGTGTAAAATTGAAGCGAAAATGAAAATTGGTTCTTAAGGTACTAAGCTAGGCTGTAGGAAACGATAAGCAATTAAAAAAGGCAACCATCGATAAGCGGGCCACGTGTGAAGCTTGGGTAAGAGTGGTATATTACTTTTCTTTTGATTTCGTTACAAAACTCACTCGGGTGTCATGTCTCTCAACTATCGTAACTAATAACAAGGTGACATTTGTACTATGTTTAACTCATATCGCCTACAACATTCCAAGCATTGTAAACTGGGGTAAAGTGTGCTAGTTTACCCAGGATTCCTTCAAATATTGCCACATATGGCCCGCTTATTGAACGGAACAGCGTAAGCATAAGACTAATGTAAAATAACTAAATTTATGGCAATAAAGAACTAACGATATCTTGTCGTTTTCATAAAGCTGATGACATCCCCTGGATGAAATTTAAATTTATTTCCATGTCACAGTGTTTTGAAAAAAAATAGATAGAATCTACGAATTTCCACAAAATATTTCAACACATTGGGGTATTTATTTTGGATGTGTCGATCTCAACTTGCACTGATACTTTGGTGTTTTGAATAAGAATCAACCTCCAATCGAGCTGCATACGGTTTTGAATTAGTTTCCGTCATACTTAGCTCAATCCGCGCATCACATGATTTGTATTAAAAAAAAATATTGTTTCTACTTAAGATGACTTGTTTATTGTTTATTGTGATCGTATAATACTTTCTCGAATATCTCTTCTTCTTCTTTTTTATTTGGCTTTATTACTTTCATACTAGGATTTTACACCGGTCGTCAACTAAATGTTTTTTTTTCATAATTTAAACAATATTCTGTATTGAATTCAATAAAAAAAATCGTTGTCTCCCGGCTAACAATAAATATTGCAGACACCAATTTTTTTATTGAATGCAATGAAAATAATTTTTATTTTTAAAAATTATTGGTTTTGAAATGGCGAAACAATCTTTGAAATAACAATTTTTATTTGTTGAATCAAGAATTTTTATTGTTTTCATCAAAAATATTAATTTGTTGGCTCAATGATATTGCTTTTTTTTTTGTTTCTATTGTTTTTCCCTCTGTTTTAAAAGAACAATGATGTTTTACAATGTATTCAATTTAATGTTAGTATTTAATACAATAATCTCATTATAATACCTAACATCGAACTACTATGCTTTCTGCGATACTCACGGGGTAGTGGCAGTTGACTGCAATCCCGCATAGACGCGAACCATAACTTGACCTTACCGATAATAATTATAAATTGTTTATAATCCCTCCTAAACTTTAACTGAAATGATTATGGAACTTTACATGAACGTTTGTGAGATAAAGTTTTAACCTTATGTATTATTGTTTTTTGAAAGCGGACCTCACAAATAATGGGTTGTTAAGAACCATTACCATTCAAAATTCTTGTTTTCTCCATACATTTTCGAAAAGAGAACTATATTAGAACGTTTTTACTTATGGTTTGAGAACATTAATGGTTATGGTTATGATAGTCAGTAAGGTCCATTAATGGTTTTGTATTATCGCTCAACTTTACGTGGAATATATCGTGAATTGGTAATCAGTAATTTACAGGCAACCAATTCGCGATATATTCCACATAAAGTTGATCGATGTTACAAAACTATTCATGGACCTTACTGACTACCATAACCATAACCATTAATGTTCTCAAACCATAAGTTAAAGGGTTCTAATATAGTCCTCCTCCCGAAAATATATGGAGAAAACAAGAATTTTGAATGGTAATGGTTCTTAACAACTCATTATTTGTAAGGTCCGCTTCCAAAAAACCATAATACATAAGGTTAAAACTTTATCATTAAACGTTCTTGTAAAGTTCCATAACCATTTCAGTTGAAGTTAAGCAGGGATTATAAACAATTTTTAACCATTTTTGGTAAGGTCAATTTATGGTTCGCGTTTATGCGGGATGGTACAAGTTGCCCTAGAAACGAGAAAAAACAACATTTAAAAAAATATTTAATGATCGAAAACAATAGCCAATATTTCTTATGAGTAAACAAGATCCATTAAATGTTATTTCTCTGAACTTTTCTCCAGATTCAATCCAAAGATAAATTTTATTCGCTCCAACAAAAAGAGGACCGGAGTCAGCTCTTCCATTTCACAACACTCCGTAATCAGCAAAGTTTCACTGAAAATAAATGAATGATTTATTTATATAGCAATTGCAACCGAAAAAACAGCAAATGACCGCCACGGACAGTAAATTTGTTGAGAAACTCCACAATTTCAATTATTTCAGCGAACATTTCTTCCACCACGATCACTCACTTTTATTTTCGATTACTGTCACCACTGTCACAGAATGGCGCTCCCTTTGCTGATTGCGCTTGATAACATTGAAAAAATGCATCATCATTTTTGTTGTTGTTGAATACATAAATATTTTTTCAATTAAAACAAATAACAAATTTTACACAAAAATATCGAATTGTTGAGTTCCAAGAAGACTGAAACAAAGACCATTTTTTATGAGGGGAGTAAAACCATAGAGGTAACTCTAAGACCAGAAGGTCCCGAAGAAACGAGCTCAACTTTTTGGCCAGCTCTGGTACTATCTTCGGTCCCAAGCTAATCGATGCACCCCTCTAAACATACTTTCATAGCGAATCAAAACAAACATAGTAGTACTGGAATTTATACTAGAATTTAGTGCGTTAATCGATTTGCTTGGGACCAATAGGCTAGTCAAGTAGTGAGCCAATTTAAAATCGTTAGTTTCGTATTGATTGTTGGTAAAACCACTGCGTCCATTATTTGAACTTTTGTTGTAAAGTCTGGAACGCGAAAAATTGGTCAACTTCAAATTGGTGTATTTCTGTTAAAAATGCATAAAAAACCTGAAATGCTGCATTTGGATGTTGAGTACAATGGTTGCTTTGATGAGTTTTCACCGTTTGCTCTCCATTTTTCAAAATGATGTCCAAGCAAGAGGAGCAGCGTGTCAAAATTTTGTTCGCGCAGCAAGAAAATCCGACGTTCTCACACGCCAAGTTGTCAAAATTGCTGGATGTGGCCGAATCGACCGTGACAAACGTTTTAAAAGTGTTCGGGGACCGTCTGTCCACCGCCAGGAAGCCTGGAAGCGGCGGCAATCGTAATCCGGACGTGGCAACGACGACGAAGAAGGTGGCGGTGAAATATAAGCGGAATCCTAAACTTTCCATCCGGGACGTCGCTGGCAAGCTCAATGTCTCCCATACTACTGTGCAGCGGGCCAAGCAATGTGACTATGGCATAACCAGACACTCCCGGGTAACTAGCTCAGTAGCATGAGACCCCTGAACTGTGTCGCAGGGCCGGCATGTTACTGGGTATTCGGAGGGGCTACGCGGACAAAGTATGAAACACTGGAATCTTCACATTTTCTAACATATTTATTTGCCCTTTTCTGTGGCGTGTGGGTGTGGGTTTTCACATGAATGTGGCGTGTATGCGAGAGTTAACGGTACGGTACTCACTGTTGCAGCAGATTCTTCTTCGGCGTCGCGACGCTGGCGTTGGCCCACACGGCTGCTCCTGCACTACCGTGTGGCCGGAAACTTGCGGCGCGGGCTGCAGACAGTGTTGTTGCCGCTTTGGGAGAATGGCGGATCTGGTGGCGTTCATCAGCCACATACGGCTCAGCAGGCGTTGCTGGCTCGTTTGGCTGGCAGGCGTCTTCCGTCGTTGACAAAATCGGCTGACCGTGGCATGGCCACCTTGGTCGAGCCGAGACGGGACCCTCCTTGGCAATTAAGGTCACCGGCCTGAGGGAATCGTCCCTGACGGACGATCGAGGATCATTTACTATTAGGCTCGGAAGCCATCTTGACTTCCGAGCCGAGCCGTGTAAAACCGTTTTGCTTACGGTACGAGGTGTACATGTTGTACAAAAGCACAAGAGTTCCTGAACGGAGGCAGTCCAACATCCCAGAAACCCCACAAGGGGGGGGGGGAACACTAAATGGCACTGCACTTTACGATACCGGTCTACACGGACGCCTGATTACTTCTCGAATTAGAAGATTTTTTCTTTTACAACATGGCCACTCGCATGCCTTTTGCCGATCATTCTCCATTTTTAGCTTAATTGTCCTCCCTTTAGTATCGTTCGAGTGTTTTTGCAGCGGTACTAACCCTCTCGCTGCTGTGTGTTGCCTTCTGTCTTTTAAATTAAAATACGTGAATTTTCCAAACAACAACAACTAATACAAACGAAAATCCACGGATTGTAACCAACTGGTTACAGCAACGAGCCGGGTTGTCGACGTTTAAGAAGGTGAAGGTGGCGAACCGAGATTACAAACAAAACACGTCGGTAAAGCAGCGGTCCCGAAAGCTGTATACGAATCTGCTCACAAAGTTCCGACTGTGTCGTCATGGACGACGAAACTTATGTGAAGGTGGATTTCAAGTAGCTTCCGGGACAGGAGTTTTATACCGCATCAGCAAAAGGGAAGGTGGCTGAAATTTTCAAAATCCTCAAACTAATCCGAAAAAATATCTCGTCTGGCAGGCCATATGCACGTGTGGTGTGAAAAGTGGCGTTTTCATTACTACGGGAACGATCAATCAAGAGATCTACGTCCAGAAGTGCCTGGAAAAGCGGCTGCTACCATTCCTAAAGCAACATAATAGACCTGTGCTGTTCTGGTCGGACTTGGTGAGCTGCCACTATGGGAAAAAAGGCAATCGAGTGGTACGATGCGAACAACGTGGTTGTGGTACCCAAAGACCACAACACTCCCAACAGCCCCGAACTCCGCCATATCGAACGGTTTTGGGCCTTGGTCAAACGGAATCTCAAAAAAACTAATAACCCAACTAACAATCGCCTATTGAAGAAACGACTTCTTGACGTTTTTATTCAACTGCATGCTTAATAATACTTGCATTATTTTTAATAATAACTTCTGTTCAGGCTTTGTTCACCCAAATCTGAAGAATTTATTCAACCACAACACATTGAACTATTGGTGTTGTATAAGGTGTGTCGAGAAGCTGTTATTCGACTTATATGAGTTGTAACAGAGCTTATTCGATAACATTTTTGATTATTATAGACATCACAGGGAGGCACGGGAAAAAATCCGTTCCGAAATTCGTCAACCTCCACTCACGATTTTCGGAACAAGTAAATTTTTCGTTACACCATGAATAAAAATCATGAAGTCGTGAACATTGTTCCACAAAATAAACGTAACGCCTGCAAAGGCAACAAAAGTCATAGAATCGTGAACTCTGTTCGGATAATCATGATCTAGTTCTGGCAAACGTGATTTATGTTCATGCGTTGTGATTGATACCGTGAACCTTGTTTTCGGAAACGGAAACATGGTTCATGGACTGTAAAATGTCAACTTCA